CCTGCAGGGTCTTCCCTCGAAATCGTCGTGGTCAGTGAACGGTGGGGTCAATATGAAGAAGATAGCGCTGAAAGACGGTGCCAACAAAAAATGGGAAGCGACGTGAGAGGCGAGAAGTTGGAACCACGAGGCGGGCGCGCGACTTGACTGGATATTCTTGCTAGCGTCACAACGAAATCAACAGTCAGTATCCAAGCGGCTGTAGACCATGGTGGTCACCTTCTCACCATTGGTACTTACCTGCGTTGATATTGACGAAGGAAGTGGGGGTTCGATTCCTCCCAGCCGCATGTCTCTTGAGAGTATTACCTTTTTTGTTGTTCTCCTGCTCCGTTCAATCACCAGTCGGGTGGAATCTGTCAGTACAAAAGCGGCTGTAGACCATGGCGGTCACCTTCTCACCATTGGGTTCCTGCTCGATATTTTCGAGGGAAGTGGGTTCGATTCCTCCCAGCCGCATGGTTACTCGCAGTACCTTTTCTTTTCGTTCTCCTCCTCCGGACACTGTCATTTTCTCAGTGGTGTACAGTCCATCACATGGACGCAAGCAGTAATAAGAATACAAGCGGCTGTAGACCATGGCAGTCACCTTCCTACCATCGCAACTAAAATCCATTGCCGATACGAGGGAAGCGGGTTCGATTCCTCCCAGCCGCATGGCGTCGCCAAGAAGTTACTTTTTGTCTTCATTTTCGATTTCTCAGTGGGGTACAACATGTCATGACTCAATCAACAATAAGTATACAAGGAGCTGTAGACCAAGGCGGTCGCCCTCCTACCGTTATTTAGCGCCTTGGCATCGTGACCATGCCATTGAGGACACACGCTGGCAGTTACAAGAGATTTGAATCCCGGCGGCGTATGAAAGCAGTGTCATATTTTTCCCTGTCCTTCATTTATTTTTCCCCTGGCTTCGGAATCACTCGACAGATACTTCACCACAACCGGTATTTTGGGCCTGCCGCTTGTTCCTACTAGTAGACCAGGAACCGATCTGTTGATGAGTGGAATTTGTTTCCATCAACAGACGGTTCCCGGTCTAGCTTGTTCCGAAGTTCCGGACTGTAACAGCTCGTCGGGTGACAGCTGTATCACAACCTTTCTCATCCTCTCCCATGCCCCCACTGAGTCGCCAACGTACGCCCGAAAGCCTCTACAGCGAGTGGTCCCACAGTTATCTGGGGGCAACAATCTCGATACATGCGCTGGCAAAGCCTCTGATGAAGTTCATGTACCACCGCGCCGTGTTGGACCTGATAAAACAACAACAAGGAATCCCGCTGTCTGGAGAGACAATACGAATCTACGAATGCTATCTCATGTAAGCCACATCCACTTCGGTGGTTGGACATACAGATCTTACTGATTCTTACACACATAATCTCAGGTCCAAATACGTGGCCGAGACGACGAAAGCACTTATTCTCCGTGAATTGGAATATAGGGCTCGAGTTGAGGTCGAAGCCCAGCTTGTTGCAGACTTCCTCGTGTTGTATGATATACTACTGGATTCACCAGGTGTTATGGTACGAAGCTGGACCTGCTGGGCCCTTGGCCAGCTTGCGCTCCATTCATCCACACGGGCAGCGGTAGTTGCTGTACAGCCGGGGGCAGCCCTTGTTGCTCTCTTGAGGTGAGTTTTCCTCATGATGGTTATACTAAATGAGTCTTTTTCAACCGCTGTTCAGTGACGCCAATGTAAACATCGTCAGAGGTGCATGTTTTGCGGTCTCGCACATCTGCCGCGACTTGGGTGGCGCCGTACCGATTGTGGCAGCAGGGGCACTAGAATTTCTCAAACAACTGCTACAATCACAAGACACAGACGTGCGATGGCATGCCTGCTGGGCTCTCGGCCAGCTTGCATATCATTCACCCACACAGGCAGCGGTAGTTGCTGTACAGCCCGGGGCACAGCTCGTTGCCCTCTTGAGGTAAGCTAACCGGTGTTTATTGTAAATGGGCCTTTTTCAATGGGTATTCAGTGACAGGAACATAAAGGTCGTCAAAGGCGCATGTTACGCGCTCTCCCATATCTCCCGCGAATTGGAAGGTGCCAAGGCTGCTGTCGAAGCAGGGGCACTGGAAATCATTCAACAACTGCTCAAATCACAAGACACGGAAGTACGGAGATGGACTGCCTGGTTCTTCGCCGAGGTTGCATCCCACTCGTTGACGCGGCAAGGAGTAGTCACTGTGCAGCCATGTGCTCAACTCGTTGCTCTTTTAGGGTGAGCCTTCGCGTAATAGTTAGAATTCAGTCCTTCTCAATCGGCGTTTAGCGACGGCGATGTGGATGTCGTCACAGGCGCATGTTGTGCTCTTTACCAAGTCTGCCGCGAAGTGGATGGTGCCAGAGCTGCCGTTGAAGCAGGAGTGTTGAAAACTGTTAAACAGCTGCTCGAATCACACAACGAGGGCGTACGAACACATGCCTGCTCGGCCCTCGGCCGGCTTGCATCTCATTCATCCACGCGGGCAGCGGTAGTTGCTGTACAGCCCGGGGCACACCTCATTACTCTTTTGAGGTGAGCTCAGTTCCTGTGGTTGTCGCACGTACATTAATCCTTTTTAATTGCCGTTCAGTGACGCCAACGTGAACGTGATCAGGGGTGCATGTTACGCGGTCTCCCACATCTCCCGTGACCGGGACGGCGCCACAACAATCGTGGAAGCAAGAGGACCAGAATTCCTCAACCAACTGCTGGAATCACATGACAAGGACATACGAAGACATGCCTGCTGGGCCCTCGGCCAGCTTGCATTTCATTCATCCACACGGGCAGCAGTAGTTGGCGTACAGCCGGGTGCGCGCGTTGTTGCTCTGTTTGGGTGAGCTTTTCTGTGATTGTTGCAAATGCATGATGGGGATTAAGAAGCTTTGAATCACCATTCAGTGACGCTAACGTGAACGTCGTTAGAGCTGCATGTTACGCGGTCACCCAAATCTCCCGTGACCAGGACGGCGCCACACCGGTGGTGGAAGCAAGGGCACCAGAATTTCTCAAACAACTGCTGGAATCACACGACGAGGACCTACAAAGACATGCCTGCTTAACTCTTGCCTGGCTTGCATTCTACCCGTGGATACGGGGAGCGGTAATTGCTGTGCAGCCCTCTGCGTCACTCGTTGCTCTTTTGAGGTGAGGTTTTGATCCAATTTCCAAAATTTGTCCTTCTCAATTGGTATTCAGTGAGGGGAATACAGAGGTTGTAACAGGTGCATGTGACGCGCTCGTTAACCTCGCTCTTTCGCGAGCCGGCGCACGGGCCCTCACAAATGCGGGGGTGCTGGATCTTGTTCCAGAATTAATTAAATCACAGCAGGTCCACATGCGGAGATTTACGTGCCTTCTGCTTGCACAGTTGGCTCGTTACAACCGAATTCCTCCCTCAACGTGAACCACTGTTTCTTTTCTTTCTCGTTGTCACCTTACCTTTTATAAAATAAAGCCTGCAACAACCGAATGACTTTGACGAGCAACCGGCCGTAGGCCACGATGGTCGCCCCCCTACGATACAAGGTCGTACGAGGCCTCACTGGAGTCACGAGGGACGTGAAGTTCGATTCCTCCCGGCCGCATGAAGCTCCCATGGGCCACCGTTTTGTTCTTCGTTCTCCTCCAGTCGTGAATGACCGGTGGGGTAAAGGAGGAAGAGGCCGAAAGACGGTAGGCAAGCCAAGTGAGATGCAAAAACCACGAAGGGGATGCACGACTTCACTGGATATTCTTGCTAGTGTCACGACGAAACCAACACTCAGTATCCAAGCGGCTTTAGACCAAGGCGGTCCCCCTCCTACCATTGCCATAGGATCCGTTGCCGATACGAAGGGAATGGGGTTTGATTCCTCCCAGCCGCATAGTGGTGTCACCAAGAGGAGTTTTTCTTTTTCGTTTTCGTTCTCCTACAGCCTTGCGCCGCAGAATCCACGCCGTGAATGATCGGTGGGGTGAAGAGAGCGAAACTTGAAGACGGGGCGAGGCTAGTGTCCCGACGAGACCAACAATAAGAATACAAGCAGCTGTAGACCATGGTGGTCGCCCTCCTACCATGGCCGTGTGGAAGGGTAGGATGGACCGCAGGACCAAAAACATGTTTTTAAGTCGCCGGGAATTATATATAAGGCCCTACCGCAGGTCGCCTTACCCCTATTCTGTATCTCTGTACGTACCATACGATAGATCGGTCCGCAGACCGTATATTTGTTTTGTACGTACATTTGTTATATGATCTCCTTTTCACCCACGAACCACCACCATCCGCGCGACCAGTGACTTGAGTAGTCCACTGTGGCTGCGTTGCCAGTGAACCCTTTCTACTAGTACTCCAAATTCTCATCCTCACCGAGCATTTCCTCGCTATACTCGTATCCCACGCCCACACGGCATTTCCCCGAGTCGACACCACATTTCTATTCTACGGCCACACGACTTTCCTGGGACCACCCCATTCATTTCTACTTCACCCTTGGACCCTATATCCAGACGACCGACCCACATCTTCTGTCTACCAGCAGACGGACCTGTGCATCCACAGCCGGTAGAAACCATTGCCAATCCGAGGGAAGTGGGGTTCAATTCCTCCCAGCCGTATGGCGTCACCAAGAAGTTACTTTTTGTCTTCGTTTTCGATTTCTCAGTGGTGTACAGTCTGTCACATCGATAACAACAATAAGAACACAAGCGGCTGTAAACCATGGCGGTCACCCTCTCACCATTCGGACTTGCTTTGATATGGACGAGGAAAGCGGAGGTTCGATTCCTCCCAGCCGCATGGGGTCGCTAGCGCAGTACCTTTTCTTTTCCGTTTTCGTTCTTCCGCTGGGTCTTACCCCGAAGTAATCAAGTTGGACGGTGGGTTAAAGGTGAGGAAGACAGCGAAACTTGGAGAGGATGCCCAAAAAAGATAGGAAGTCAAGAGACGGGACCACGAAGCGGGTGCACGACTTGACTAGATATGCTTGCTCGTGTCACGACGAACCAACAATAAGAATACAAGCGGCTGTAGACCATGGTGGTCGCCCTCCTACGATTGCCGACAGGGATTGAATGTAACGAGGGAAGTGGGGGTTCGATTCCTCCCAGCCGCACGATGTCGCCCGGAAGGTTTTTTTTCATTTTCGTTTTTGTTCTCCTGCAGGTCTTGCTTCAAAAGATCAACACCTGGGGTGAAGGTGAGGACGAAAGCGAAACTTGAAGACAGGGCCAAAAAAGCGACTGTAGACCATGGCGGTCGCCCTCCTACCATGGACCACTCCCCTTCTGGGATTCACGAGGAAAGCGGAGGCTCGATTCCTCCCAGCCGCATTCACGCTTGCTCAGACGCTGTCGCTTTATCAGTGGTGTACAGTCCATCACGGCTCAAGCAACAGTCCGAATACAAGCAGCTGTAGACCAAGGCGGTCGCCCTCCTATCATTCAAGAGATCAAGTGGTCTTAACGAGGGAAGTGGGGTCCGATTCCTCCAGCCGCATGCTGGTGTTGCTCGCAGTAGTTTTTCGTTTTAGTTTTTGTTCTCCTGCAGTTATTGCTTCAAGAGATCAACACCTGGGGTGAAGGTGAGAATGAGAGCGAAACTCGAACATGGTAACAAAAAAGATCGGAAGTGAAGTGGTAAGAACCACGAAGGGCCCGGGGGTGTACAACTTTACTGGATATTCTCGCTTGTGTCACGACTCAACTAACAATAGAATACAAGCGGCTGTAGACCACGGTGGACGCCCTCAGACCATTTCCGGAACGGAGCTTAACGAGGGAAGCGGAGGTTCGATTCCCCCCAGCCGCATGGGGTCGCTAGCAGTCTCTTTTGTTTTTTGTTTTTTGTTCTCCTGCAGTTGTTGCTCCAAGAGATCAACACCTGGGGTGAAGGTGAGGATGAGAGCGAAACTCGAACACGGTAACAAAAAAGATCGGAAGCGAAGTGAAGTAAGAGGCGAGAACCACGAAGGGGTGTGGATATTGTTGCCAGTGTCACAACGAAACCAACACTAAGATTACAAGCGGCTGTAGACCATGGTGGTCGCCCTTCTAGCATTAGTCACTGCCTTTGCGTTGACGAGGGAAGTAGGGTTCGATTCCTCCCGGCCGCATTAGAATCCACCGAAATTGCCCTTTTTGTCTTTGTTTTCTGACGGAGTATTGCCTCGAAACCGCCGGTGGGGTTGATGTCAACGAAAGAGGATGCAAAGGGATTTACTTCAAATCCCCATTGGATATACATTGTTTCGCGAGTCCTCTGCATCCTACTTGATACGGAAAAGAAAGGAATAGTCAGTCAGTATCCAAGCGGCTGTAGACCATGGCGGTCGCTCTCCGACCATTTCCGGAACGGAGTTTAACGGGGGAAGTGGAGGTTCGATTCCTCCCGGCCGCATGGTGTTTTGAGAGATCACTTTTCTTTTTCGTTTCCGATTTCTCAGTGGTGTACAGTCCGTCACGGCGAAATCAACAATAGGATACAAGCGGCTGTAGACCATGGCGGTCACCCTCCTACCATTGCTGCTAAATCCATTGCCGATACGAGGGAAGCGGGGTTCGATTCCTCCCAGCCGCATGTCGCCCAAGAGAATCTTTTTCTTTTGTCTTAGTTCTCCTGCTCCGGACATCTCAATTAGGATTTATGTACAGTAGTGTGCGGTGAATGGTGGGGTCAATCAAGGAGGAGAGCGAGAAACGACGTGAAGGAAAACTGTAAAGTGAAGTGAGATGTAAGAACCACGAAGGGTTTGGGGGTGCACGACTTCCCGGGATATTCTTGCTGGTGTGACGACGAAACCAACAATAAGTATAAAAGCGGCTGTAGACCATGGCGGTCGCCCTCCTACCATTGGATCCCTGCTTGATATTGACGAGGGAAGCGGGGTTCGATTCCTCCCAGCCGCATGCTGCTTCAAGAGATCCATTTTCATTTTCGTTTTTGTTCTCCTGCAGGTCTTGCTTCAAAAGATCAACACCTGGGGTGAAGGTGAAGAAGAGGCCGAAAGACGGTAGGCAAGCGAAGTGAGAGGCGAGCACCACGAAGGGGTGCACAGTACAACTTCACTGGTCATTCTTGCTATTGCCACGACCAAACCAACACTCCGAGTACAAGCGGCTGTAGACCATGGCGGTCACCTTCTCATCATGGATACTTCTCATGATACTGACGAGGGAAGTGGGTTCGATTCCTCCCAGCCGCATTATTTCAACAAGAAGGACTCAACACCATACGCACAACTTCAAATCCCCGCTGCGCAGCCCGCCGAACTGCTATCAGTGTCAGAACTCAATCAACAATAAGAATACAAGCGGCTGTAGACCAAGGCGGTCTTCCTCCGACCATTGCCGCTAAAATCCATAACCGATATGAGGGAGCGGGTTGGGAGCGGGGTTCGATTCCTCCCGGCCGCATCCGAAGAACCATGCATTGTTTTCTCCTGTTCTCCTCCTCCGGACGCTGCCAACTGATCAGTGGTGTACAGTCTGTCACGACGAAACCAACAATAAGAATACAAGCGGCCGTAGACCATGGTGGTCGCCCTCTTACCGTTGCTCTTGTGTTTCTGCATACGAGGGAGTGGGGTTCGATTCCTCCCAGCCGCATAATGGTTTCGTCGCAGATTTTTTTTCCCCCGTTTTCGTTCTCCTGCACGTCTTGCTCCGCTGGAGCCCCGTCGTGAATAATGACTGGGGGTGAAGGTGAGGAAGACAGCGAACTTGAGGATGGGAAGCGAAGTAAGTAAGAGGCGAAGGCGCCAATTCTCAATGGATATTCTTGCTAGTGTCACTATGAAAGCACCACTAAGAATACAAACAGCTGTAGACCAGGCGGTCACCCTCTTACTTACCATCGCCAGTAGAATCCGTTGCCAATCCGAGGGAAATGGGGGTTCGATTCCTCCCAGCCGCATTAACCTTCAAGGTACTCTCTTTTTCGTTCTCCTCCTGCTCTAGTCAATCATCAGTGGTGTACGTTACGACGAAAGGAGTAATAGGATACAAGCGGCTTAGACCAGGCGGTCGCCCTCCTACCTTTCAAGACGTCCAGTATAATACGAGGGAAGCGGGGTTCGATTCCTCCCGGCCGCATTCTTTGCACGTAACGTTTTTTGTTCCTTGGGTTCTCCTCTCTGGACGTTATTGAGTTGATTTATCAGCGGTGCGCCGAAATCGCCTACAACGCTCGCTAGCTCCTCCACACGAAACAGAAAACAGAAAAAACGATCCCAATTCAAAGCGTTACACGTACGTACACACGATTCCGGCCTCCTTCCTCTTGTCCTTCCTTCCTTCCTTCCTTCCCTGCTCCCCCTCTTTCCCTTACTCCCGTGTGCCCTTCTCCCAACCTGCTTCTCCGTCTCCCATCTGCCCTTCTCCCCTTCCCGTACGCGGAGTCCACCTCACCGCATATTGAAGACACCCCTACGAACTCACACCCACCGCATAACCACCACGCTATTCTGCAGCCCCGCGCCCTCGATCGTGGCGCCGTCGTCCGACAGGACGCGGTTGGGGAAGGTCGTGCCGATGGTGTAGGGGCGCGTGAGGTGCGTGGGGGAGGCGCTGGGTGGGGGTTAGCGAATATGGTCAAACGACAAATGCAGATGAAGAGGCCTTTAAAGAGGGGGACGAACGGGAGGGGAGGAGGGCAGGGATAAGGAAAATTGGGGAGGGGAGGGAAGTAGGAAGCAGGAGTAGGGGAAGGAAAGAAGAGCCACGCACGCATTGATGAAATTCCGCAGGTCGCCAACGGTGTGAGTTAGGTTCATGCGGCAGACGATTCTAAAAAGCAAGTCAGTCATTTGGAGGGGAGGAAGATTAAACAAGAACAAGAAGGAAACGAGTCGATCAGAATAGTGGAACGCCCGCGTCCAACACAAACGACAGCAATAACCATTAAAGGAAGACAAAAACAACGAACGCACCTCGTCCCATCCGCAAGCGTAACTCGCACACTCGTCGTCGGCAGACTCTGGTCCACCTCGAACCGCGGCGTGATGCTGCTCGCGCCCGCCGGCGCCCTCCCACTCCCACTCCCACTCCCCGCAGTGGAAGTCGAGGCAGAGGCGGAAGTGATCCCAGGGACGGCGGCACCGAGCCTAGTGCCCTGCCCGGAGAACGGCTTGGGCTTGGGGGGGACGTAGTCGTCGTCCGTGCGCCGCGTGACTTGGACGTCGACGCGCTGGCCGACGCGGACGTTGAGGATCGAGGGGGGTGCGTGCCTGTAAGCGTGCAAGTAATTAATTAAAGTGCAAGTAATTAGCATTGGCGGAAGAACGAATTGGATTGGAGGGGTGGAGGGAGGGATACGCACCCAGCGTGAATAGCGGCTAACACGTCCGCGTGCTGCGGGTCGTCGTACCGCATGAGCGGGCCGTCCTCGACCGTGAAACCCTCGCGCCAGAACGTGAGGTTCCGCGTTACTCGTTCGCCTGCGAGCACATCAGTATTAAGCCTTGCGTACGCGCCGAAGGGAAAGCGGCACTGGGAAAGGAAAGGAAACGCACCTTCGTCCTCCAACCCCTCATTTGCCCCGGGCACGTACGCACTCTGCACGCCCTCCCCGCCGAGGGTGTGCCCGCCGCCGGAGAACACGCTCGTCCGCCCTTGCACGCTGTCCGGGTCCGGGGCCGCGCCTTCTCTGCATCCCATGAAGTCAAATTAGTCTCATCATCTCGATTGAGTAGCGAAAGGGATGGAAAGGGAGGGACGCACTCTTCCGCCCTCTGCAATAGATCTCTAACCAGATTCCCGCCGGGCACCCGCGAGCGATTGGGGTTCTGGACGCTGATTCCGCTGGATTGGGTTGGGGTTAGTAGGAACTCGAGAAAATGGAAAAGATCGCGAAAATCGAGGAAGGATTCAGGGCATCGGAGGCATCCGATTTGCGTAAGAAAGGGATAAGACGGACCTACGCTCCCCACCGGCGAACCATGTCTCCTGCTCGTCCTCGTCGTCGCTGTGTGAGCCGCTCATGGTGCGTCGTTGGTGTGTGGTGGTGGTAAGCGGCGGAAGAGTGGCACACGTCACGGTTGCCAAACAAGTGTAATGTTGGGCACTGCCGCCCCCTGTTGGAGTTTGACTTTGGTACAACTTGGCGGTGGGAGTGCGG